ACAGGGAGCCCTGGTCCGCAAGGGCTAGAACGGCCTTGTCACTGTGCAGGAATCACAGTAAGTAAAACACTCCTCATCTATGGGCCCATATCAAACTTCTACTTGATCTTTGTTTTTAAGTTCACTCAGATCTCTTGGCATGGAATGGGCCATCATAATGGCTTCTTTAACCTCTAATGTTTTTAATATTTTTTTAAAAATCACCTTCACCCAGTTTAAGTTCATTTTCACAAGTTTAGAATCAAGATTACCATTTCTACTCCTTTAAGAAGATTAGTGTTTAATAGGTCTAACATACTTAGAATTTTCATGTGGAAGGAGTGAAATTTCAACCACATGATATTTTCTACTACAAACTGGTCAAAAGAATGTGAATGTGGAAGTGAGCCAGACCACAAGGATGGAGCAAACAGCAGAAAAAAATCTATGCAAAATATGGCCAGAAGAATTACCCTTTCACTAGAGAAGGTTCCCAGTACTCAGTTCAAACAAATATTGAGCTCATGCCTATTATGTTCCAGGCTCTGGGGAGAAAAAATGTGCACATTGCTTATTTTTGCACCTGTAAGGGCTAGCACAGCCATCATGGAACATGTGGATAATGAGGGGTACAAGAGAGGTCTAATGCGCAAGACTGTCCCCACGGAGCTCACAGCCCATGTGACAGATGAGGGCCACAGGCAGTGTCAAAAGAGAGTGCCTGCAGGACACAGACTACTTCCACCCATTAGTCCATTCAACCCAGTCAGGACACTGTATGTACTTCTCAACAGAAGGATAAAATTAGTTCTACTTACACCTTATGCCTAATACATGGGCAGAGACATATTAATCTTGGGTTCCTGAAGACTACAGCCAAGGATCAGTGTTGCTGACATGAACTAAGTCATTGTTAATCTGCAGGTTGACAGTTTTCTCACTGGAGGAAGCAGCAATAATTTGTTTCTGGCTGAAAAAAATTCTGAAACTGAGAACTTACCTTACCAAAATATTGACAAAAATAAAATTTGCACTCAATCGTCTTAACTTGGTTTCTCTGTACAGGAACGGCACCTTTGCAAATCTTGTAACTTAAGAAAAGGAAGCAGGTGGCTTTACTTAAGTCCCAAAACCAAAAATTGAGTTCTCCTTAGGAGGGCAACATGATACTACTCAACCTGATTTTCCTGAAGCTACTGGCTAGCGATAAATCAAGAAGAAAGGGGTGGCCAGTCACAAGACACCTTAAGATCCCTAATTCCTTCCTGCTCAAGAGGTACAACCAGTTCTGCATGATTAAGTTAACTCAGCTTAAATGTATGTGAGCTATAAAAATAAAGTTACTGCTATTGAGTACAGATCTGTGTACCCTTTTTAAGTCTTAGATACATAAGAATTTAGTACATTTATTTTTTTTTGTAATAAGGCTATTAATAGTAATGAATTATTTTGGTTCTTAGGTTCAAAAATGTTAGACTAATATCTAAAAGTTCAATCAAATTAGCTACCAATAATATTAAGAAATATTAACTCTTAAGCAAAATAGTAGGATAACAGGAAAGCTTTTAATCTGGTCTAAAGAAAAAAGAAAAAGAAAGAAGAAACCTTATTCACAGTTTCTCCACGTACCCCTGATGCCTGAGAGGACTTCAAAAGTGGCCAAAACCTGTAATGATACACCTATAAAATAAGGCCTAAGAACTAATACCCTAAAAATTAGAACAAAGAACTTTTCAATTAGGAATCTTAGAGTTTTTGCTTGGTTACAACAGAGCTGGAATTGGCTTTACAAAATAAAAGATGAAATGATAATACAACAAAAAGCATAGAGCAGAGGTCAGCAAACTATAGCCTGCTGACCAATCAACTTTGCCATCTGATTTTATATGGCCTCTAAGACAAGAATGGTTTTTACATTTTTAAATGGTTGCAAAAAAAAAAATCAAAAGAATGATAATAGTTTCTGACCTGTGAAAATTATATGAACCCCAAAGTTTGGTGTTAACCCATTAAGTTTTATTGGAACACAGCCACACCGATTTGTTCGTGTACCACCTAAGGCTGCTCTCAATCCACCGGGAGCAGCGGCTGGAGAGACTTGGCCTGGAAAAAAAAGCCTGATATATTTACTGTCTGGCCTTTAGTGGAGAAGCTGGCCAGCCGCCGGTCTGGAGCCCAAGCTGGGCTAGCAGAAAGCCTGACCTTTCAGGGTCTCGGGGGCCTCCTACTCGGGCATGCTCTCCTGCAATACTGGGCAGTTTGAACTCACATCTCTTAGCTGCAAACCCATCTCCCACAGACACTAACACCAGAGAACCTACTAGAAGTCCAGGCCCACTGAAAAGTCAGTATCGCCACCTAAGTATATGAGGCCTAGTATTATTGCCACCTAACATTTCTAAAGTGGGCTTGCTATGCTTTTACTCAGATGAACCACTTAATGTGGGAAGAAAAGATAAATTTAACCCAGTAAATTTAACAAATGTGATATTCTTTATTTAGGAATGCCATAAATTCCTTAAAGTTCTTTACAACTGTCTACCCTCAATGGTTTTTCATCATCAATAAAATATTTCCTATTGCTTCCTACACCACCTCCATTAAACCAGACATCAGGTTCTTTGTGTGCTATGCACCACATCTGATCTCTTCTAAAACCATTCTGACTCAGTCTGAGAAAATAACTCTCAATTCCTTTTTTATAATTAGTATGTTCTCTCAAGACATTTATTTTTTTCTGCATTACAATAGAACATATGGCTTTTGAGCTGTTTTTACTGAGGCTTAAAATTTAGCTAAAGACTTTTGAAGACTTCTACTTCCAACTATAGTGAATCAGAATCTCTAAAGGCTGTCTGTTTACAAAACCACAGGATATTGCATAAGAATAATTTTTATGCATCAGGGAGTCCCAGCAAGTACAGTAAGGAAAATTTTCAGGGCTCCCCATTTAATCAAAAAAAGAAGAAATAGAAAAAGAATTCAGAGGAGATATACAAATGGCAACTAAGCATATGAAGAGATGATCCATATCACATGTCATCAAAGTAATGGTTCAATAGACATATAATCAGAATCCTAGAAGGAAAAACAGACCCAGCAAACTCACTCTGAGGTAAGTACCCTGTAGCCACTCTTACACTGATGTACCAGGAGACATACACAAGGATATTAATGGCAGCATTGTGTAGAATAGCCCCCAACTGAAAACAGCTAGAAGTTCATCAGAAGAATAAAATATAAATAAATAGTAGCAAAGTTACACAGTAGAGTATTATATAGAAATGAACACAAAGGTACTACAGCTGCAAACAACATGGATGAATCTCAAAAATATTTTTATAAAGCACAAAACAAGTAAAACTAAACTATATATTGCTTAGGCATATATATAGATGGTAAAACTTTTTTTTTAGGCAAAGTCATGGTACATCGAAATAAAGGATATTTGTTACATCTGGTGGGAAGCCTGGGTGATCAGATTCAAAAGGTGCACACAGAGTATTGACAACATTCTAGATCTCAAATTGGGTAGCAGGTTCAAATGAATGGTTCATTTTATATTCTTCATAAGCTAACATAAAATATCTGTTCTTTGTATATATTAAAATTATAAAAAAGTATTTCCAGAATCTCTATAAAACAAATAGCACAGCTGGATGCTACAGATGCTCAGACCTACCCTTAACATGTCAGATGAGCTAGGGCTAGAATATTGTCTTTAAGCAGGTTACTAACCATTCACAGTCTTAAAATAATAATAATAGCAATAACATCTGCCTCACAGAATTTACTCTGATAATATAGTAGGATTACTAGACTATGAGCCCCTCGATGGATAGAACTGTATCTGTCTTGTTCATCTCTGTATCCCTAGTGAATAGCATATGCCTGGAACATAATAGGTATTTATGCCAGTTCTTCTTCCTTCCATAACAGTATAGAATAAAGCATCAGCGGTGTGTGTGTTTAGCTTTATAGTGGCTGTTCATTTTCTGGGTTTTGTTTGTTTTGTTTTGTTTTTTAGGTTGACATTTTATCTTGGCACTGGCTGTATGTCACTACATGTGAGAAGTAACCTGACCTATCTGTGTTTCAGGTTCTCAATCTGTTACACAACAAAACTGAACTGAGGGACACAATTTTCTGATTGCCTACAGCCTGACATAATAGCCTATACATTAGTCTTTTCAAAAACAAACAATAAAGCGAGCATATTTGCATTACACGAAAATGCAAATTCAAGTTACATGTTCATGGGTATCCCCCAAAGAAGGATAATGACCACCTAAACAAAACCATGTCTGAGATGGTCAGAACTGCATTCAGTGACAGTCGTCTTAGGGCCAGAACTGTGTCCAGTGACAGTCATCTTAGGGAGATGTGCCACGAACAAGGGCACTTTCACCATCCAGCCCACTGCACAGGTTTGGCCCTCCCATCTCTGACCTCCCTCGCTCGCGGCTTTCCCCTTTTGTTCCCGTCTCCTTCTGCCTCCTGTGATCACCCCTAAAACTCAGCCCTCCACATCCTTAGCATTCAGTATTTGGTAAGTTCATCTATGCTCATACTTTGAGCCATTACAGTTATCACAGTTAGTTTGGGTCCTGCCATCATTAGATCAATAGGTAAAAACAAACCTCAGAACCTCTGTTCCTAAAACGTGATGCCCACACAGCTCAGGCTGTCACATGCTGAAAGCTGGCTTGTATGCCCAGAGAGAATGTGGGAACCCAGACCTCTAGCCCTGGGTGACACAGCGAGAGAGGGTGATCAGCCCCGTCAGGCCTGAAGCCTAAGGTTCACACTGCGTCCCTCACCCTCATCACACATCTTTATAATCCCAAGTCTTCTGTCACAATTTGAGCCCCTTCTTTAGTCATGATTCATGTCTCCACTGCTATGGGCCATCAAATGGAAGGGTGAAACCACAGATATTTACAGCCTTGAGAACATGATAGACAAGGCCCAGTGAGTGGCACAGCCACTCCAGCCCCTCCCAATGGTGCCGGCCAACTTACCTGATGTTCTCCAAGGCGTCTGTTATCTGCTGCTGCTCAATGTCATAGAGTTTCACCTTGAAGCCTCCACTAGCAAACAACATAGCCCAGCTTCGCCCAATGAGTCCACTAAAGGCAAAGAAAATTAAGAAAGGCCTCCAGTTAACTTAGTAACAGAACAATTTTTCATTTCTAGCCCAGAATGAAATTTAAAAAATTATACAGTATCCTGTTCTCCAAATACTTAATACCTTAAAGGCATACATTTTGATAGCTGTATTGTTTTAAAATATTTTATCTGAAAAAAAATAAAATAAAAATAAAATAAAATAAAATGTTTTATCTGTTCCCATGTAGGAGCTCAACTCCAATGTCAGCATTAATATTCAACACGGAGCACCTCCAGATGTCAGGTAGTTAACATCTGCTCACACACTGAAACAAAAGATTGCCATAGGGACTTGGTAGGGTGTCATGGAGGCCCCTACATGAACCCCCTATTGGACCACATTAGGCCAGTCACTTAACTTGATGAACAGAGATGGTCTCTTCCCTGTCCTCCTCAAATAAATAATTACTGCTTCCACCACCAGCACCTGAGCATGTATTAGGTAACAGGTAACATGAAACCATTTACATGTCTTAACTGTTAATAACAACTCTATAAGGTAGGTGCTATTATTATTTCCACTTTATACACGAGAAAACGGAGGCATAGAGGGTTTAAGACTACACAGGCTGTAAGTGCTGGAGCTATAAGATGAACCCAGGCAGTCTGACCCTGGATCTTTACCTGGTGCCCCACTGTCTCAGACTTACTAGGAAAGGAAAAGATAAAAAGAAATGAAAACTCACAGAGTTGTTCAAAGGTTAAAAATGAATGTGTGGAGCACATATGGAACCCAAACCTTGGTTTCTAACAAAATTCTCCAACCAGGGCTCCTTGGAGAAAGAAGTGGCTGATTCTAGGACTGAGCCAGGAAATACACAAGTAGAGCCCAGAGGAATCTGGAGTGCCAAAAGATTAGTAAGTGCTAAAAACAAAACAGAACAAAAGCCTACAACTGGTGGAGCATGTAGAGGAACATATGAGCCGACTGAAGGAGCTAGCGAGTGCTGAAGGATGAACAAAACTTGGTACAAGCTGAGCAAAAAGGTAAAGCAAAATAAGCATCCGTGAGAGAGGACAGGTAGTGATTCTACAGCATCTTACTACACTGATGGACAGTGATTGTAATGGGGTATGTGGGGGAGACTTGGTGATGGGGGGAGTCTAGTAAACATAATGTTCCTCATGTAATTATAGATTAATGGTACCAAAAATAAATAAATAAATAAGTATCTGTGAGTCCACAGTGATATAAATAAGTATCTGAATAAATAAATAAATGGGGGAGAAGCTAACTGTCTTGCAGAAGAAGAATTCTCAAGTCATTATGCAGATACTTTGCCCTCAATGAGTTGTAACATAACTGCTCCCTCCCCTGAAGCGTAGGCTGTGCAGAGTGCCTTCCTGCCAGGAAGTACAGTAATGGAAAAGGGGAAAAAGTCGAGTAACTTTAGAGTGGAGAAAACTGACAAACAGTTCCTCAGTCAGGTGTGACAAATCATGTTGATAGTAGCTATCCCAGGGTGTGATGAGAAGAACACGCCCCTCCATGGTCATCCTCCCGAACATCCATCACTAGTGTCGACCATGAGAACAGCATCACACAAATCCCAACAGTGGAACATTCTACAAACTGCCTGACCTGTACTCCTCAAAACTATCAAGGTCGTTGAAAATGAAGAAAATCTGAGAAACTGGAGCTGAAAGAGAAATGACAAGTGTAATGTGATACTCTGATGAGACCCTGAACATTGGGTAAAAACCAAGAATATCTAAATAAAGTATGGCTATTACTAAATAATAATGTATCAATATTGGTTCACTAATTGTAATAAACATAACACACTAGAGTAAACTATGAATAATAGGGGAAACTAGGTGAGGGGTACAAGGGAACTTCCTATATTATCTTCACACTTTCTCTGTACAACACAAAACTTATTCTTTCTAAAAAGAGTATGTATAACAGCAATTCCCCTCCTAAGTCATTCCAACAGAAATGAAAACATGTCCAAAAAAACCCATCTTATATGTAGATGTCAGCACTTATTCATAACACTTAATGTCAGCACTATTCATAACAGCTAAACAGAAAAAGCCCAGAAGTCCATTAAACAATGAATCAATTAATACAAGGTGTAAACCCACACAACAGTTATTCAGCCACAAAAAGATGAAATGCTGACACATGGTAAACCTTGAAAACAACTGCTCAGTAAAAGTTCATCAGAAAGATCTACATGCTGTATGACTCCATTTACATGAAATGGCAAATATGCAGAGAAAAAGTAGATTTGTGGTTACCCCACAGCTGGGGCCAGGGGAGTGGGCGTGCAAGCTCGTGGAGTCAGGTTTCTTTGGGGATGATGAGAATATTCCAAAATTGATCGTGGTGATAGTGGTACAATCATGTGAATATACTAAAAACCACTAAATTGTACATTTTAAAGGGTGAAATGTACAGTACATGAATTATGCCTCAGCAATTCTGGTATTAAAAAATGAACACATGTGCAAATGCTTTGAAAATCAACTCCTGTCACACAGATGTAAAGCAATATACTTAGCAAGTTCCTAAATTAGGTTGAGTAAAAGAACAAAAAGGAAACAAATATTGCATTTGGTGGAATGTAGGGGGTGACGCTGAAGCATGCTTAGAATTCCTTCCCAAAAGGTACTTGCCTGGTGCGTGAGTATCCAGCCAGAGGTGAGGACAGGAAGGCATCTGCTCTCACAATGCATCTACAGCCCAGATTATCGAGGATTTTCTCAGAGCAAGTGGCTACAGGAAGGCAGTTTATATCACCAATATGCAGCAAACCCACGTAACCCTGCCTGTGTCCAATTCCAAACCCCAGTGCCATCTCCTTACAACTGCAGTGCTCCAAGCTGGCCAACCCAAAGCACACCTCACAAGTGTCCTCTTGGGAGACCTACAGACCAACATCTTCATTTGATGACTCTCCACTGGGATAGCACCAGTGGCTTGGCCAGTCAGAACCGACCCAGCCTGCTGAGTAATCTGACTCTGGATAAGAGAACTATCTGTACTTAGCATATCATGATTTTAAAAATGAACACTTATGCAGGCTTATGAGGAAGGAAATTCTGACATATGCTACAACATGGATCAATGGTGAGGACACTGCACAATGAAAACAAGTCAATCACAAAAGGGCAAACACCTTATGATTCCACTGCTGTGAGGTCCCTGGAGTAGAGTCAGAGTATAGGATGGCAGCCACCAGTGGCTGGGGACAGTGGGGCTGGCATCTGCCACTGGCTGGGGGCAGTGGGGCTGGCGGCTGCCAGTGGCTGGGGGCAGTGGGGCTGGTGTCTGCCACTGGCTGGGGGCAGTGGGGCGGGTGTCTGCCAGTGGCTGGGGGCAGTGGGGCGGGTGTCTGCCAGTGGCTGGGGGCAGTGGGGCGGGCGGCTGCCAGTGGCTGGGGGCAGTGGGGTTGGTGTTTAATGGGAACAGAGTTTCAGTTTTGCAAGATGAGATAGTTCCGGAGATGGGCTGCACAACAACAGGAACATTCTTAACATTACTGAACTATACACTTATAAATGGTTAAGATGGTAAATTTTGTTTTGTGCATCTTACTGTAAGTTTTTTTTAATGAATACTAACTTACCCTACAAAAGGCTGACTCTGGGTTTGAGCAAGTCTTCTCGCCCCCTACCCCCAACTCCCACTTCAGAGGGCAACTGGGCACCTTCTCACTGGCCTAACATTCTTCCAGTCTCAGCTGTTGAGGGCCTTTCTCCAAACCTTCCCACCTCTCCCTTGTTTTTCAGGGGACTGCATCTCCAAAGGTAACCCTGACCCACCCAATATCTATCTTGTCAAGACAATCTTTCCTTTGGGACCAACCCAAAGAAATTCTACATCTGGTACCCATTTTATGTCCATGCATGGGCATGGATGACACTGGAGAGGAAGAAAATGACAAATGCTTCCATCTCACTTTCTAAGTCTAGGGAGTTTACACACAACTGTTTTGTAAACTGATCTTTAATTGTGCATCTCTAGGTACATGAATAAAAACCACAGTGAATTTTGTACAATGGTTTTAAACAGATGCTTATCAGCAGGATGAATTTTTGTTTTGCTTGTTCAGTAAGGTTGGCTCTATGCACCAGAAACTATGTTGCTCCCCTCCACGTCCCTGTCATATTGTGGGGGCTTGGTATATGTTAGCTATTGGCAACAAAAGAGCTGTCACTATCCAGTGATAAATACTAGGTAATGGTCACCAGCTCTGCTTATGGGTTACTATGAAGGCCAAAATCATCCACTGAAGAAATATTTAAAGAGTGCCTACTGTATGCCAGTCACTGGGGATGCAGTAGCAACAAAACAAAACTTCCTGTCCCATGGGGCTTACAGTGGATAGACAAGACAATAAACTACATGAGTAAATTAGACAGCACTCTAAAAGGTAAAAATGCTAGCAGAAGGATAAAACAGGGAAGAGGGACAGCAAGTAGAAGTCTGGGACTAGGAGGCAGAAAAATTTTAATAGCACCTCCAGAGACCATCTCACCAGGAAGGTGACACTTTAGCAGAGCTGAGGGACATGGCATGAAGGCATCTGGGGGAAGAGCTTGCCCGCAGAGGGGAGAGCAGGGCAGAAGCCTGAGGAAGGGGCGTTGTTTGGCCCAGGCCAGCCCGGCTTGTGCGGCTGCAGCAGGGACGTGGAGAAGACATCAGGACGAGGCCAGAGGAGGCAGCACGAGTACTTCGGAGGCCAGATGGATTGCAGCTTTCACTCTGAGTGAGACGACAGGCTAATAGAAGGCTTTAGAGGAAATACGTGATTCGACTTCAGTTTTAAAACGAATGTTCTAGATGCTCTATTAGGAATGTATGGACAACAGGCAAAGATGGAAGTAAGGAGGCCAGAGAGGAGTCAGGATGCTATAGGATGGTAGGCTGCAGCAGGCCGCAGGCAGAGGTGCCAGAAGGGCTGGTCCGCTGAGTTCTGAATACACAGGATTCCTTATGCACCACGAAGAATTGCTGGTGAGCTACATGAGGGTGTGAGGACTACTCAATGACTCCCAAGTCTCTCTTCCTCAGCAAAAGGAAGGACAGAGATGTCATGACTCAGATGGGGAGCACTGTAAATGGAGTGGATTTGGAAAGAGAAGCCTGAGAGTTCAATGCAGGATGCTTCAAGTTTTAGACGGCCGATCAGCATCTCTACTAACAACTGGATAGAATTCTTAAGGTTCAGGGGCAAGGTCTGGGCTGAAGATATTAATTTGGAAGTTACAGCACAGACATGGTATGTCAAAGCATAAGGCTGGTTGAGATCACTAAGGAAGTGAATACTGATAAAGGAATCAAAAGACTGAGCCTTAGAAGAACACTAAAAATTAAATGGAGAAGGATTTGGGATGGGACATGGGTGGGAAACCATGAGGGTCAGGGAAGTAAAAGAGAGCCTCACAGAGAAGAGAGTCACTGACTCCAAACTGAGAACTGACCATAAGGTTTATCAACAAGATGATGGGGGTCGGGAGGGCCATAACATGGGCAGTTCTAGCAGAGTGGCAGATTAAAGCCTGCCTGATTTAAGACAAATGAGCATACAGATCTACCAGTTCAGGAAATGAAGGGCCAAAGAACATGTTGAATTACACTACAGGGATACATCCAGCAAAGTCCAGAATCTTGGAAATTTCACAGGACAAACAATCCATGTTCTTCAACAAATAAACTGCAATAAAACTTTTAAAAAAAAGAAGGGCTGGGGAACCCATAGACTGAAATAAATAAGAAACATATCAACCAGATATAATGTGTGGGCTTTACTTGGACCTGAAATTAACTCAAGTATAAAAAATTTTTGGATAATCAGGGAAATTTTGAATACTGACAAGATATTAAAGATAATATTTGAAGATATTAAAGAATTTTGTTAATATTTTATACATGATGATTGTATTATACTTGTATTTTAGAAATTGTCCATAACTTTTTATGATAGTCCCTACCTTTTAGGTATACAGGCTGACCTACTTATAGATGAAATGATATAATGTCTGGGGTTTCTTTCCAAATAATCCATAGAAAGGAGTATAAATGACACTAGATTAGCCAGTGTTAACAACTGTTGAAGCTGGGTGGGGGTAGCAAAGGGTCCATTGCTCATTTGCTCAAATTCAGTATGGTTTGAAACAAAAGAAAGTGGAGACAAAGAAAGTGGACAGTTTTACTGAGTTGTGAGGAAAAACAAGGCAGTTACAGGAGGTAGAATTATGGGCAAATGAGAGCACGTATTAGGTTCCACACGCTAAAGAATGTGAGTCCCTTGGGAGAGCACAGCACTTTAGTCTGGGGCTACTGTGCCGATTTCCACTGCTTGGGTTGTCCTAATTTTTGCAGTTACTCAGGAAGAGAAAGCCCACATCCCCACAAAGGTGACAAATGCTTGGATCTGGAGGTATCAGAAGTCAGCCAACCACTTGGCAGGGACATTGGCATCAAATATTGAGTAGGTGGCTCTATTTCTCTTTCAATCTTGAGATTTCAATTCCACTTGGAATATCAAAAGCAAGTTGCATCTGATCCACAAACTATACTATGAAGTTCTAGTAATTAAACCAGTATTGATCATACCATATTAAAAATGGTGGCATGAGAGGTGAGACTGAAACCTCCTCCCAAAACCACCTATAATGCGAAAATATAGTTAATACAACTAATCCTGAAAGAGCAACAGGAAAGAAGGCTGCGCCACACTGCATATACTTGGAGAACAGAGCAGACCTCATGAAACAGGGTAACATACCAAAGTCTTGATCCGGCAGGACCCAAGCCCTTCCCCCATCCCAGCTCACCAGGGGGAGGAAGAGGAATGGAGCAGGGAGGGAGTGGAGACCTGGGACTGCTGAACACCCAGCCCTGGAGATCTGCTCTGGGAGCACGAACCTACATTACATGGTGCTCTGGAAATTAGTGGGGCTGAAAAGCTAAGACAGGCAGAATACTTGGAGACATTGAGATTCCAGCCACTCGTGTAAAACAGGGATCCACATCCGGCCGCTCTGGGACAAAAGAAAGGCAGGCAGTCTAAGAGACTTCATAACAGCAAGAGGGCTACTAAAGGGGCAAGGATGGCACAGAGATTGCTGCTCAGGAGAAAGGACAGGTGGACAAAATTGTCCAAGCACACTCTGCCCAGCAGGTTGGGGACTTTCAGGAGCTTCAGGCATCCCATCACCCTGGCTGGCTACAGCTCCAAGGGCCCACACTGTGATACACAGACTGCCATGCCTTCCTCCCAGCCGGTACTGGCTCACAAACCAGCTGCCCCTGACCTTGCACCCGGCCAGCCAGAGGAAGGCCCAACCTATGGCAGCTACAAGCACAAAGCATAGAGGATTCTACCTGCTGCTCAGCCCAAGGCCTTGGCAGTGGAGACAGGCACTGCAGCAGGGAAGCAGGAAACAACTCCTTGATCCCGACAAGCACTGGCACTGCTCCCCTGTGACACCAAACATTGCTCCAGGGGCTGAGCAGCTCCAGAGAGAAGAGCTTCTCGGCACTGGAGGGTGCCACCTACACATATGAAATGTCAAAGGAACCTGGTTCAAACCAAAATCCCACAAACACCAGAAAGATGACCAAGTGAAATTGACCTAATCAATCTACCTGAAAGAGATTTAAAATATAAAAATCATAAACATGCTCCTAGAGGTACAGAAAAATATTCAAGTACTCAGGAATGAATTTAGGACAGAGATACAATCAATAAGGAACACAATGGTGGG